TCGTTCGTTGTTTGTAAACAAACAACAAACAACAACAACAACAACAAGAAAACGTTTTAATTATTCATTAATTTTTTTTTTTTTTTAATTTTTTTTAAAGGAAAAAATACCAAAAGAAAATCTTCCAGCCGTGGCAACAATATTACGACAGTTATCAATGACGAGTAATTATAATAATAATAATAATAATAATAATGGTGCCAGGCATGCAGATGAGGAAGAGGAGGAAGAGGAAGAAGTGGTAGAAGATGGAGTAGGGAATGAAGATAATGATTTTGGTGAAGAGAGGAAAAGGCAAAGGTTTAGAACGAATTCGTGGTCTCTGTTGAATCCCGAAGGTACGGCCATACCTTCACTCATCGACCTTAATCAGCAGGATTACGATGTGAATGCTCCCGTGGGTTTGGATAGTTCTCTACTCCAGGGACAAGATTTGCTCAACGCTCTTGATATTGATGGTATGCCAATGTCTCCTTAGTTGTTTTTATTTTTTTTTTTTAATTTTTTTAATTTTTCTTTCCCTCTTCCTCACACACACACACCCTCCCTCACACCTACCCCTTCGCAACACAAGCACATATATAGATATATTATTATTATTATTATTTTTTTTATTATTAAACTTAAGCGAAAGTAAAATTTTTTTTATGAATTATTATTAAAATAGTTTTTTTTAATAGTAATAATAATAATATTATTATTAATATTAATAATTTTAATAATATAGGTAATTACGAGTTAAGATAGATTTAATTAAAGAAAAACAAAATGGCTCGCGGATGATTTAGGAAACGTTTAAAAAGAAAATTCGTGGCAGGTTAGTTTTTTTTTTATATATATATTTTCTTTCTCTCTCTCTTTCTCTTTCTCTCCCTCTCACTCTCTCTCATATGTGTGTGAATTTTTTTTAATAAATGACGAAAGAAAAAAAAAATGTCAATGGAATAATGGCGAAAGTCAAAAATGTTATGATGGAGTCGGTTAAATTTCCGTTATAAAAACAAAATACGCTGTCAAATTCAGTTACAGTGTTGCCAAATTAAATTCGCGCGTTTTTTTTGTTTAATATGTTTGAGGATTTCCTTTTTTCGTTACCGATTCCCCTTCCCCCTCCACCTTTACTATTTTCTCCTTCTCTCTCTCTCGTCCAATGAACGTTGAGAAATGGTGGAGAGTTTTAGGAGGAGTGGGGTGAGTTGTTTTTTTTTTAACTCGTTGTCATTGGTTATTTTTTCACTTCCCCACCTCACCCCCCCATCAAAATTTTCTTATCGCGTTTCGTAGAAATGCTGCGTGTGGGAAAGGAGGGGAAGGAGGGTCGGCGCGTTTGTTTTGGATTCGGAGAATTAAATGTTAATTAAGGAGAAATGAAAGCAGAAGGGAGGGGTACGGCGGTGAGGGGAGGGGGCGGAGAAAATTGACGGAGGAGGTGGTGGTGGGAGGAAGGGGAGGAGGGGAGGGAGAAAATCGGCCGCCGAAAATAACCGTTAAAAAAAAAAAAAAAAAAAAAAAGAGCCATCGCGTTCTTATCATTACTATCGTTATTATTATTTTTATTATTATCGTTGTTATTTTTTAAATATTATTATTATCATTATTATTATTATTAATTTATTTTTATCGTCGAAATTTGTGTTAACTTATCAATATTATTATTATTATTATTATTATTATTATTGTTAATGACCGTCACCCTTGTCAGAGTTTTTTAGCCCGGAAAAAAGGAAAAATGTCAGTTTCGTGTTTTCATGTTGTCTTCTTTCTCTCTCTCTCTCTCTCTCTCTCTCTCTCTCTCTCTCTCTCTCTCTCTCTCTCTCTCTTTGCGAAGAGATCAATTAAATTAACATTCGTTCGTGCCGTATAATTAGTCGCCATTTTGTTATTATTATTATTTTATCATCGTTGTGTTATCACCGTCACGATCATACATCGTGGATTTTTATCATCATCGATTTTTTATTTTCGAAGCTAAGCTCTACCGCCTCTTAAATAATTAGAAAAAGAAATTTTTTTTTTTGTATAAATAAGATAAATAAATATCGATAAATCGATTTTATCGATTTATTCGATACATCGTTCGATTTTTTAAACGTTTTGTATTATTATCAGTCCCGGCGGCGGGCGGGGTATAAATAAATTTTTTTTCATATGATTTTCTCTCTTTATGAGTAATTTAAAATGATTTATATAAAAAAAAAATAATAATAATAAAATAATAATAATGATAATGATAATAATAATAATAATAATAATAATAATAATAATAATAAATTGAGAGAAAAAAAATGTAAATAATCGTTTTAATAATTATTCAGAATAGTAGTTATGTGTTCAAATTTTCCAAAAAAAAAAAAAAACGAAATTTTTTTTTTTCAATGCTCGTGCAATCGTGTTTGTTTTGTAACCTGGAGTCGGAAGTAATAATAATAATAATAAATCAATAAATAATACATAATAGCGGGGGGTGAGATAAGGAGGAGGAGGAACGATAAGGAAATGAGGGAGGGATAGGGTAGACGTTAATTTGAAAATTACTTTCCTCCCCCCATCTATTTTCCTTTTCCGTTTCCTTCTCTTCCCCCCTCCCCCCCCCGTCTTGGACTTTTCTCTCATCAATAATTTTCCCACATGTCGAACATAAAATTTAGGGATAAATAAATAAATGATTGATATATAGATAATAATAATATTAAAAAATAAAAATAAATTTTTTTTTTTTACGCATAACTAACCGATCACCGACGATCATTTTCACATTATTATTATTATTAT